TTGATTTAAATCAAGCCTTTTTACTAGTAATTTAAATGATTTAAATTGTGACTTAAATCAAATCCATCCTGTTTAATGGCTTCAGAAATATTAATCTATTTATTTTGCCGATTTCTTTCTTTGTCAGGTTTCTTCCTTTGCTGGTTTGAATGTTGTACCTAATGCATAGGAAAAGAAACTTTTTAATTAATTTTTAATTAATTGTGCTGTCCGGACATTTCTCGTTTCTCGGTTGGTTCTCTTGTTAATTAATTTCCATCCACTTCTTGTCCTACCTTCAGATGCTGTGGAAAATAGTTGACACCCTCTTTGTGGCAGCCCCTGAAATATTGGAACAGTGCTGTCATCTCACCCCTAGTCCTTCCTTTCACTAGATTAGACAAATCCAATTCCTGCAACTTTGTATGTTTTAGCTTCCAGCCCCCTAAGCATCTTTATTGCTTTTTCTGCACTTTCCACATTCTGTACTTTTATAAAATGGTCACCAAAATTGGATGTAGTATTCTAAGTGTGATTTTACTAAGGCTTTATAAATCGGTACTAATACTTCACGTGATCTTGATTCTATCCGTTACTGCAACCTAGGAATTCTGTTGCCTTTTTTGGGGTTGCTGCTGCACATTGTTGGCTTATGTTTAAGTGATGATTGTCCACTAGGACCCCAAGATCCCTCACAATTACTGCTATTGAGTCAGTTTCATCTAATCTGTACCTGTATATCTGTTTTTTCTTGCCTAAGACTAAAACCAGATTCGGGAAGATTTGGACTCCGACTGGGTAGTCTCAGGGGGAGAGACAGGGGCAGGTCTTGAGAATGTTATCTGGAATGAGTTTGATCCTGTGACCCCTGAGGACGTGGACAGGATTCTGGGTAGACTGAACGCGACCACTTGTTTATTGGACCCGTGTCCTTCCTGGTTAGTACTGGCTTCCCGGGAAGTGACACGAGGCTGGCTCCAGGGGATTATAAACGCTTCGTTGAGTGAGGGTGACTTTCCCGCTGCCTTGAAAGAGGCGGTGGTGAGGCCTCTCCTCAAGAAGCCTTCCCTGGACCCGGCAATGTTGGTAAATTATCGTCCGGTCTCCAATCTTCGCTTTGTTGCGAAGGTTGTTGAGAGTGTGGTCGCGCAACAGCTCCCCCAGCACCTGGATGAAACGACGTATCTGGATCCGTTCCAGTTGGGCTTCAGGCCCGGGTACAGCACGGAAACGGCATTGGTCGCGTTGGTTGATGATCTCTGGAGGGCTCGGGACAGGGGGTGCTCCTCTGTCCTGGTCCTGTTAGATCTCTCAGCGGCTTTTGATACCATCGACCATGGTATCATGCTGCACCGGTTGGAAGAGTTGGGGGTGGGAGGCACTGTGTTGCGGTGGTTCTCCTCCTTTCTCTCTGACCGGTCGCAGTCTGTGTTGACAGGGGGACAGAGGTCGACCCCGAGGCCCCTCATATGTGGGGTGCCGCAAGGGTCGGTCCTCTCGCCTCTCCTGTTCAACATTTATGTGAAGCCGCTGGGCGAGATCATCCGTGGTTTCGGGGTGGAGTACCATCAGTACGCTGACGACACCCAGCTGTACATCTCCACCCCGGATCACCCCAACGATGCCCTTGAAGTGATGTCCCAGTGCCTGGAGGCCGTACGGATCTGGATGGGGAGGAACAGGCTCAGGCTCAACCCATCCAAGACTGAGTGGCTGTGGTTTCCGACGTCCCGATATAGTCAGTTGACGCCATCACTGACTATTGGGGGCGAATCATTGGCCCCCACGGAGAGGGCTCGCAACTTGGGCGTCCTCCTGGATTCACGGCTGTCTTTAGAAGAGCACTTGATGGCCGTGACCGGGAGGATTTTTCATCAGGTTCGCCTGATTCGCCAGTTGCGTCCCTTTCTGGATCGGGACTCTTTACGCACGGTCACTCATGCCCTTGTCACCTCCCGCCTGGACTATTGCAACGCTCTCTACATGGGGCTCCCCTTGAGGAGCACCCGGAGGCTCCAACTGGCGCAGAGTGCGGCCGCGTGGGTGGTAATGGGAGCGACATGGCGTTCCCATGTAACACCTCTCCTGCGCGAGCTGCACTGGCTCCCGGTGGTCTTCCGGGTGCCCTTCAAGGTTTTGGTTACCACCTTTAAAGCGCTCCATGGCTTAGGACCCGGGTACTTGCGGGACCGCCTACTACCACCAATAGCCTCCCACCGGCCGGTACGCTCCCATAGAGAGGGGCTCCTCCGGGTGCCGTCAGCCAAACAATGCCGACTGGCGGCCCCCAGGGGGAGAGCCTTCTCTGTGGGGGCACCTACTATCTGGAACGAGCTTCCCCCAGAGATACGGAGGATCCCGGATCTGCGCACCTTCCGCCGCGCCTTAAAGACCTTACTATTTCACCAGGCCGGCCTGGCCTAATTTTTCCCCCTCTTTTATAAAAGATTTTTAAAATTTTAAACATCTTTTAGTATTTATATATTCAATTTTAAATTGGTTTTAAAAGTTTGGGGTTTTAAATTTGTCGGGGCCAAAATTATTTAATTTGATTTTATTCTATTTTTTAAATTTTGTATTGTATGTGTTTTTATTGTTTGGCTGTGCACCGCCCTGAGTCCTTCGGGAGTAGGGCGGTATAGAAATCTAATAAATGAAATAAATGAAAATAAATGAAAACCTTATTTTTCTGTATTTTGAATTTCATTTTGTTAGATAGGGCCCAGTGTTCAAGTCTGTTGAGACCCTTATGTATCTTTCCTGACCCTATCTTTTGGAGCGGTGGCTCCAGATAGGTATCGCCAAATAGGTGTCATCTGTAAATTTGATAAATTCCCCTTCTTTCTCCTCATCTAAATTGTTTATGAAGATATTGAAGAGTTCTGGGCCTAAGACAGAACCTTGAGGTACCCCACTGCATATTTCCCTCCATATAGATACAGTTCCATTAAGGACTATATGTTGAGTGCAGCTAGTCAACCAGGTACTATTCTATCTGATGATGATGCTGTCTAATTTTTCTATCTTAATCTAGTAGTAAATTGTGGCCTACTTTATCAAATGCCTCACTAAAATCCAAGTAAATTGTGTCCATAGCATTTTGCTGTTCCACTAACATAGTCATTTTGTCATAAAATATTATTTGTCTGATTTGTTTTTGACAAACCTATCTCTGGTTATAACTGCTTGCCTCTGGGTGTTCACAGATTTATTGCTTGATTATCATTACTTGAGTCTCTAATCCAGAATCTTCCCAGGTATTGATATCAGCTGATAGATCTGTAGTTTCCTGGATCCATTTTTTTTCTTTTTTGAAGATGGGAACCATATTAGCTCTTTTCCAGTCCTCTTGTGTACCATGGTGGTCTAGGATCTTTGAAAGATATGATTTGGTAGTTCTGAGATCACATCTGCCAGCTCCTTTAGAACTGTATCTTTTATGTAAGGCCCAACTCTGAAAATTCAACATTAAATATCTCTTTTCCCTATAGGGGCATATAGTTGAACCAAGAGGACCTCGAGATTTTGGATGGGATCCTTGCTTCCAGCCAGAAGGCTACACTGAGACGTAAGGGAATATTTTCTCATTAGTTATAATCGGTCAGTAAAATTACCCAGTCACTGTTGTACATTCAAGTATCAAAAAGTGTGCAAGCTCTGTTCTACAAAATACCAATTTTGTCTTAAATATTTAGGAATGTATTTGTCAGCAGGCATTTGGATTATTCTTTTGTTTTATTCTATTTAATAATAATGGATTTAGTACAGATGTTCCGTTGGCAATTCCCATATCTCCCGAGAATATTTGATCAAATCATTCCTTAATTTAGGACTCAACATTTAAGCCAAGAAATAGAGAGTAAATTTAATTAATCCATTTATAATTCTACCTGCTCTAGATGAGTAGGTTTTGCAGTTTCTCATGGTGAAGTTCTAAGTTGTCTTTTGCAGATATGCTGAATTGCCCAAGTCTGTGAAAAACTCTCTCTCTCATCGTTACAAAGCCTTGAAAGAGCTGTCTACCTATTTTGTTCAACACCACAACTCAGCAGAGAGCCTATCTTGTCCTAATTAACCTACATGGATCTGTGAAATATTTTTTTAAAATATAAAATTGAAATTAAAGCATAAGCATGTTTCCTGTCTGTACAAATTATGTTCAGTAAATCTTTTTTTTTTTTTAAGTGTGTTACTTACTGTTCCTGAAATTTGTGGTGAAATACTAAGTTTTCAATCAGGATAAAAGATGAATTCCAGATGACTTTTTAAACACTTGTATAATATTCCATTTCCACCCTCCACCCCGTCTACCCAAAAAAATCAGCTATCATAATGCTGCAAACTGAATAGCTGCCCATCTCACAGAACAAGTGATTCTGGGCGGTTTACAAGTTAAAATGAATTCCTAAAAACCATAATGATTAACAATAAAAAAATAAAAAAATATTAAAAACAGCTAAAGTAAAAAGTAGACAAAGGGATAACAAAGCCATTTTATTTGTTTACGTGTCTTCTACATTCATGGACTCAAACCAGTAAACTATTCGTCGGTATACAAGTGAAACCGCACAGCCGATTCATATACTGCACTACATCACAATATATTTTGCGTAGGTCCAAGTTACCAAATCCTCTCAATGCTGCTACTGTAGAAATGCAGTTCTAACACGTCACGTGAAGAAAGTCGATCATGGCGAGTTCAGCAAACTAGGTTTACGGGATTAGTAAACCCATTTACCCTTAACACAGACGACGCCTTTTCCATTGGTCAGAAGGAAGATTACAGGCTATAAAGCAGGGGCCCACAAACTTGGCAGCTTTAAGACTTGTGGACTTCAACTCCCAGAATTCTCCAGCCAGCATAGCTTCCTTAATTTATTAAGCATAGCTGGCTGGAGAATTCTGGGAGTTGAAGTCCACAAGTCTTAAAGCGGCCAAGTTTGAAGACCTGCTATAAAAGAAAGACATTCAGTGTTCCAGACCTCACTCTCGCTGATTGCCCGCCCCGCTTCCTTCTGCTTCAGCTCCGCCCGCCATCCAGCAGGCGAGAATCGCTACTACGGTAGCCGAGAGGGCTCACGTCATCGGCGCCTTCATCGATATCCTGGGCGCTCGGCTCCACCCCTGAGTAGGCGCGCCGAGCGATCGATGGAGCAACAGCTGACGACGCCGACAACTCCTCCTCTTCCTCGGACCGGCCATTTCCGCACCGGCGTGAAAGGGAAACAGGTGAGCCGAGGAAATAAATAAAGGCGCGAGGGGGGCGGATGATAAGAAGAGGCCCTTGAGTTTGGTGGGCGCTGGCTCGTGGGAAGCCGAAGATCCCTTTGGGAGGAAAGAAAGCAAGTATCCCGGCGGCGAGGCAGGAATGGCGAAATGGCCAATAGGGAAAGAAACTGGCAAGGCTGCGCAGCCCGGAGAGGGCGAGTGCCTCGCGGAGGGGGTGGGGGGGCTTATGGGAAGAGCGGGGTGGATAGCTGGAGAACTAAGACTCCCGCGCGAGTGAGAGATGAAGGAAAGGGCTCATAGAGGAGGAGCAGTTTATTTAAAAGCCAGTGTCGAGGTGGGACATTGTAAGCTTGGGGAATTTTTAAAAGATTTTTTTTAAAAAAAAACAAAACATGTTAAAAGAGGTAGGATTGGATAGAAATGTAAGTAAAAGACATAGGAACGGCCAGCTTGTGTAGCCTTGTGTATAGAAGAATGATAGAAGTAGGTGTAATGGCGATTGGGCAGAAGCAGTAAGGCTGCATTCCATGCTGGCAGCGCAGATTAAGGAAGATGGGACTCCTGAAGCTACTTAAGCTTCAGATTGAAAAATGGGTTTGTCCTTAAGCCACCCTGTGTCTGGCCATTGTAGGTCACAAAAGCATACAGTATGTTTTCCTTTCCATGCTGAGATACCTGTGAGCAAATTACGGTGCTGTCTTTTCACTGAATCTAAGTATCCAAGACACTGTAGATGGTAGTAATGTAATGGTTCACAATATTTTGCAAATGGTATTTTGATGCAACATTAGAGTTTTGGGGGACACTTGAAATAGATCAAAGGCATATTCTGCACACAAGGTCCTGAGGAGTATTGGTAGGAAAAGCATTACTTTTAGGCTTTGTAAATTTACATCTGACCATTTTTGAAAATGAAATTTATCAAATAATTTGACTGAAAAATAATCCTAGCTCAAGTGTTTAAGGGTGTCTGTGGGAGTACAAAAGCATAATTGGAACTAGTGGTAGATTGAAAAGGCTTTCCCTTTCAGTTCAGTATATAGAAAACCAACTTTTTTTTCCTAGCCAGCCCTTTGAAAGTCTTGATGATTAAAGAATTGTTGATATTATCTTATTAGTGGGATAGAAGAAATTATTTTAAAATAACCTTTATATTTTCCATTCATAGGACCAGAACCAAAACCTGTGATATTTTAAAATCTTTTTATCAAAACTTATTGTGCTTGCATAAAAGGCTTTAGGAACTAATGGGGATTTAATTAATCCTCATTATATAGCTAGGAGAGGGATATGTTTTACAATCTGAACGTAATTAATCCTTGATTTGAACAATATTTCAGCAGTGGTTTAAAAATAATCTATTCATGAATTATTAAATGATAGTTTAAACTATGCTGGAAATTCCCAGACCTCATATTGCTTTCATGTAATAATTTGTTTTGCAGTGTTAATGCAGGCATCATTGTAGCCAGTCATTAAATTCTTACAATTTGAGAACTAAAACCTGATAGAATGACTAGAATGTCTTTTTTTCCTTCTAGGACAAAAAGATAGCACTGTTATGAAAACATGCCTCCAAAATTCAAGCGCCACCTCAATGATGATGATGTTACTGGGTCAGTCAAAAGTGAGAGGGTGAGTGCATAGGGGGTAGTTATTGTCGTATGATTTAAACGTGTGACCTGATGAAATGGCTGTAGTAATTCCAAGAAGATTCTTGGAAATAATTGCTAAGAGTTGTATAATATTTAAAGAAAGCAGCTCTTTATCAAATTCAGAACTGATGCTATTACATTCGTGTCTAAAACATCTACCAAGTTGCTTCTGAGTTGTAAGGGTTAGCCAGTGGCATCACTGTTGCCCAGGTTATGTCCGAGGAGGCTCCTTTCATGTCCCCGTTACCTTCCCACTGAGATGGTACCTACTTTCATTTCAATGCTTTGTTGTTCCTCAAATTGTTGGAACTCAGATCAACCCCTTTCTGTATTCATGACCTTGATGATACATGACCTGCAGGGTCCATTCAATCCTCCACTGATTCAATGGTGAAACCAGTCTTCACTTTAATATGAGACAGTATTAGGGGAGTTGTATACATTTTGTACAGTTAGATTGAGATAACTGTTGATAGTTCCCCCTCACCCAAGGATTTTTTTAAAAAGATCATAGGGGAAAAGATTGAAATTCTGGCAAAATAAACTAGAAATATTAAGCAAAAGCAATGAAACAGGTTATATATTATTTTAAATCTTGAGAACAAAACTATATAAGGTATTTGACAAAACCAAGATTGGCACTCTTAATTATTTTTACTTTTCAAAGTAATTTTTCAGAGCACCATATACACTTGCAGATAAAGGATTTTAGGTGCCAACATACATCCAAAAAATTGGGTTTGGCTTATCTGTGAATGCACTTATCCATGGGTATTTATACAGTAATAATTTTTAAAAGTACACATATTTCCCATCTATACTCACAAATCCATCCACAAATAAATAAGTCCTCAGATTTTTAACCAAAATACCATGAAAAATGCAGTTCATCTTATCTATGGTGACACATTTTTCATGGCATTCTGATTAAAAATTTGAAGGTAGGCGTATGTGTGGATGGGCTTATTCACGATAACATGATTTATTCAAAAGGAAGACCTAATGATTCTGTCTTGTATTGTCTTTTTGTGGATATCAGATACCATATATCAGTGGTCCCCAACCCCCAAACTATGGACCAGTTACCAGTCCATGGCCTGTTAGGAACTGGGCCAGATAGTTGGAGGTGAGCAGCAGTAGGTGAGCGAGTGAAGTTTCATCTATATTTGCAGCTACTCCCCAGCGCACACATCACCACCTCAGCTCCACCTCAGATCATTGGGCATTGGATTCTCATAGGAGTGCAAATCCTACCATAAACTGCTCATGCGAATGATCTAGGTTGTGCACTCACCCCTCAACCCCAACTCCCGGCCCATGGAAAAATGGTCTTCCACAAAACTGGTCCCAGGTACCAAAAAGGTTGGGGACCACTGCCATACATTGTGTCAATGGCATTAAATTCTGACATTGATTAATGATTCAGTCTAGAAATATTCTTTTGAAATTTCTTTTTGAATGAAAATACCCATTAGTAGAAAAATTCTTTTTCATAGATATATCAATCTTTTGTGTTTGCAGAGAAACCTCCTAGAGGAAGATTCAGATGAAGAAGAGGACTTTTTCTTGTAAGTGTCTCCAAACCAGAATAGAGATAACTATCAAATCCTAGGTCTCATGCACCATTGTTTCTGCCTGTTCTATGTGCTTTGATCTCAAGGGTTCCTTATAAATACCAGGCAAAGTATTGCACAGCTTACTGTGATTGATTGTCAGTAATAGTTACTACAAACTCTTCAGTGTAAGGCTGAAAACTCTGCCAGATGTCTTTACATAGCTTCCAGGAGTGGGCTGTTTCTTCTGAATATATAATGCTTTCAAATTTCAAATATCTGTCTGTTAACCAGCCATATAATTTGCCACTCATCCTAGGAGATAACGGTAACAATTTAACTTTAATCATTTTGTAGGAGAGGGCCATCAGGTCCAAGGTTTGGACCCAAGAATGACAAGATCAGACAGTAAGTACTTTGTGGCAAGTAAAATCTATTTTTGCTTTATTTTCATGTCCCATTAATGTAACTGTTCTGCGATCAGGTGAAATTATTAGGTGAAATGAATTACTGTTTCCTAGACTAGAGCCTGTTCATAAAATAATAAACATTGTCTTTTGGAAAAGTCACATTTCTTTCAATACTTTAATATTTAAATATATATATCTTTTAGACAATGTCTCTCTATCTTTGTGCATAAATTCTTTTCACTATACAATTTCACAGGAGAATATAAATAAATAAACTCAAAGTGATAGGGAAAATTAATTAAAAGTAGGAAAATAATAACTTTACAAATTATAGCGGAGTAACAATTGGAATTTATGCTGTATGCTTTGGCAAAGTCCTAATTAATAGTTACTTTTGTTGGGGATTAGAAAAACTATCCTACTTCATTGCACCTTTTTCAGTTTAATTCCCTTGAGCCAACATCTTATATATTTACTGTAACGCAGGACAGAATCCGTAGCCGCCTAGAAATACAACTACTGTAGTCCTTGTTTAGTTGTGAAAACTCAGTTATTAAGCGAAGTGACTGCTAACTGATTTGTGACTGTGCTTATGATCTTTCTTTGTTTTACAGACCTGCAAAGGTCATAAATGCAAGGAATAGTTGCAGAGTTATATCACTGTCATAACTGAACATTTGCTAAACAAGACAATCACTAACTGCTTTTCTTTGTTTCTTTTTTAACTGCTTCCATATATATTCCATATATATGAAAGGCATATATTTATTTTTACATATATCGGATATGGGCAAATATTTTATAACTGAAGAGGACAGCCTGCCTGTAATTCTTAGACTGTTCCAAATGCATAATTTTTTTTTAAAATGTTTTATTGTAAGAAATTATAATAATACAATTTTATCCATCCAGTTACATAGTATGGAAAAAGAAATAAATACAAATTGTACATATTATACATAAGTAGATAATCTTTGCAAACCAGTTACATGGTAAAAAACAAAAAAAAATTGTTCACATATCATTTTTAACATATGTATATGTGATAATCTTTGACAATAAATTAGTAAATACATAAATTATATCTTTTGCTTACCCATGTAACCTTTCCTTGCCTTATTATATTTCCTACCATCCACAGTACCTCTTCTCTTACTATTTCATTTTTCTATTTCTTGTACTTGCTCTGGTCTCTTTCCTTTTTATTTCAATTTCCTCTTCTCTAACCACCCGTACCACTTATCCCATACGCTGTAATAATCCGAATCTTCTCTGTCATTAATTTCTAATGTTAATTTATTCATCTCGGCACATTCCATTATTTTGCCGATTACTTGTCCCTTAGTTGGTATATTTTTCTCTTTCCATTGTTGAGCGAAAGCGATTCTTGCTGCTGTTATTATATGCACTGCCAAGTATTTCTTCTTTTTTGCCATTTCCGTCTTCAGGATTCCCAGGAGAAGTGTTTTAGGGTCTAATTCAAAGGTTTCACCTATTATTTCTGAAAGCCAATTGCAAATCATCTTCCAATATTTTTTTGCTTGAGAGCAGGTCCACCAGCACTAACGCTAGAAGGGCATGATCTCCAGATGGGTTGGCATGCCTATTTATGGGAAACGGGGAAAAAAACCAAAACACATTTCAACAAACATAAATTGAGGGACATATTGAAGTCAACGTGAGAAGAAATAAGATGAAAACACTACACTAAAATTCCCAGCTGGCTTTCAACCATGGAGGCAATAATCTACCCAAATGTCCTGGACCATGGTAAAACTGTAAAATATAAAGAAATCCTAGATGAGGCAGGGAACCTCAAAACATTAGAACAATTAAAAGAACAGGGCACTTTTGTTGAATGGTGGACATACGCACAGATAAAATCAAGATACAAAAAAGATAAAGAACAATACGGTATAGAAATGGGATGCAAAGATATTGATAAAATTTGGATGGGTACAGATAATAAATTATTAGCTAAAATATACAACTATTTAGTAGAATATGACCTGATGGAAGAAGTGGTTAAAGGCCCAATGCTAGCATGGGCCAAAAATATTGGGAAAAACATAAATTTGGAAGAATGGGATCAAATATGGAACAACAATATAAAACTTACCAAGGCAACTACTTACAAGGAGAACCAGTATAAGATGATTTATAGGTGGCACCTAGCACCAGCTAGGATCGCCAAAATTTACCCTAACTCAAACCCAAAGTGTTGGAAGTGCGGACACCAGCAAGGTACCTTTTACCACTGCTGGTGGACCAAATGCATAATTTTTATTCCTTCACTCTCAGTGATATATAAAAAAGGCAAAGAAAGTGCGATATTATGATGTATTTCCATATCACAGTTATTAAAGACAAGGAGCTCCACCCTGTCAAGAGTATTATCATCTTATTTTATGCTTTAGTTTTATTCTTTTCCCCAACATGCCAAGAATCTCTCTTGTAGTGTCAATAGAAGATGTGACACTCTAATTGCTAACACAGCTTTATGCAATGAGGAATACAGGAAATGAAGTAATGACCAATTATGTTACTAATTGCCATTTCCTTTGCCTGTTATAATCTTTGTTGTATTTGATGGGATGGTATGCAGGAAACAACCTATCAGTTTGGAATCTGGGTTACTAGACACTAGGAATGTGAGTTTGAAGTGTCACATTTTGGCCTAGTTTTAACTTGACTGGTAGAAGTCCAATGAAGAAATGAATATCATCACTATATTGATGATCCCCAGCTCAGTATTTTTTTTAACGGATGCTATGTATGCTCTGAAAGTTTTGAATGTTGGATGCAATGATGAACTAAGTGTGAATTATTAAACTAAGTCTTCATGTAGGAAACCCAAATGGGACACTATAGACACTATTAAATGAGTTTCTTTAATCTGGAGCTATTGCTGTTTTGGATGGAGTTTCATATCTTGTTAAGGCGTAATGAAGAGATTGATGTGCTTTTGGAGCTGGCATTGTGTCTGGGTAGGCACAAAGTTGTGAATGCCAGAAGCATTTTATACCGCTTTGACTGTTTCTTTGCCATTTTCTGTTGGTCAGTCATGAAAGAACAAGTTAATTCTTTACTGTATTTTGTGAAACTTACTTTTGTTAAAGAAAAAACTTCTCTTAGCCCAGTCTTGACTCTGCTCTTATCAAAAAGTACATTGGCTTCCAAATGTTTTTCCCCCCTTTCTTAAAACTGGCTGACAGTATTTTTTTTTTAATGGTCAGAGATGAAGGAGGGAAAATATTGCAAAGACATTGCAAGTTCCTATATGTCACATCCATCTAACTCATTCTGCTTTTAAAAGGCAAATCATGATTTCTATGTACCGGTATCTTCCTACAGAAGGCAAATTTGACCATAAATTTATTTAGATTGTTGCAGTATACAAAATAATAACTGGTTTGGTTATCAATGCTGTTTGATCAGTGTATATTAGCTTCACAACAAGTGTTGTGATGCTTTTTTTTTTTAGTCACAATTCGAGATTCTTATTCTTACCTACAAAGATGCCAGAATATCTACAATATTGCTTGTGAAACTTGTGGGCATAGATGTGCACTTGAGAATTCAAGAAAGGATGAGCAGTGTGGTTAGTGGGGATCTAACAAGTATTATACTTTGATATATTTTCTTTACATGCTTGCTTGCAATTTTTTCAATTCATTCAATAAGTTGAGTTCAATTCAAGTTCTGCCTTAAGCATGATTCAATATTGGATTTAGGCAGATAATTATCAATTCAGATGCCTATTTGAAAAATAAATTGACATATTGCTATTTACAGTACATTCTTTAACAATTATATAAAGAATGTAAAGACTTTGCACACTAAAATATTTGATATTAACTATATCACACTCAATTCAGACTCGGCGCTGTTGAATAAATTGGGCTACAACTCCCATCATTCCCACTCAGCATCTAGACTACACTTGCAGGATATCAGTCAGTAGCATTTTCTGGTATTGATGGTAAATTCCTTGGTCATCTGATGCATCCTTATGTATATTTTTAAACCAGAGTTCAAAACCAGGTTGATGAAGTTATTGATGTCATGCAAGAAAATATCACCAAGGTGATAGAGAGAGGAGAGCGGCTGGATGATTTGCAAGATAAATCAGGTTGGTACTTTTCCTCTTCCCTTTTAGGAGGGGAAACTGAGTTCCAGGAACACCATGTCTCTCATATTACCTGATCTCAGCATACTTGGTTTTCATTATCTGTTCTTATTTCTTAGGTTCCCTGTTGCATGCATGGGATCCTGGGTACATAACAGTGATATTGTTGTGTCTGTTTTAGAGCTAGTTTGTTCATGGGAGATTTTTTTTAAAAAAAAAGCTCAGTTCACCATGCTCTCTAAGAAAAATGGCTCTGAATATCTCATAGATCTATGAAAAGGTAGTCCTTGCTGCTAAATGTAATGTGGAGAGACAAAAAACAGCTAATCATAGGAAATAGACTTCCCATTCTTGTGCTACAGATGAGTCATTTCTCTTGTTTGTCAGCGCTCCCTTACAGTTGCAGATTACAGCCTGCTAGAGGGCATCATGAGATTTACTACCTTGATTATGCCTTTTATTATTGGAATGCAATTCTGTAAATGATCTTTTTTGTTACATTCCCATCCACAGTAATTAAAAAATTCTTGGTGGCTTGTAGTGTCAAGTACATTAAAATATACTTGTTATAATAATAAATATTGAAAATTAAAAATTAAAATGGAATAGATCAAAATCATCCACAATAACTATCAAGATGTGACAACCAGTAAATAAGTAGCAATATATCTTAATTCAAAAGTTCTACTGAACAACTTTGTCTTCATTTCCAAACATATAGTAATTACAGAACTAATGATTTACAAGAGAGCTTGTTAGTAATATATACATGTAGTCCTTGCTTGCCAATGGTAATTGGGATTGAAAACTCCATTGCTAAACAATGCAGTGGTAAGATGCAATGTTGCATGACCAGCTGACTTATGTTCTGGCCATCCCAGTTGCTCTTGTAGACAAATCCTGCTTGTTTGCAACATCCTGATTGCCATTCACAATCTTCTGCTGCTTTCCCCATTGCTTGTTAGAAGCCAGCACTGAAGGTTGCAAATGGCAAACACGTGAGCACAGATTTCTATGTTCTTGTAATTGCAAGCCAATCTCTATTCGTCTGAATTGCAGTCTTGTGACTGCAGGAACACTGAAAGTTGCAACCATGAGGACCCATTTTTAAATCCTACTTCAGCACTGTCCTAATTTTGAACGATTGCTGAACAAGAACTACCTAGAACTAACTTGGTTGTTTTTCTTGGATTTTCTATAAGGAAAGAAATTGTGCAGAATTCTCTGTATCTGTTCAAGACCCTTGATTGGGGTTTTTTTTTAATCAGGGTAGAGGCAAAAGCTTTATCTTACCACTATAGTAGATAGTTCAATTCCATTTCTCTGTCTCTTTATCTGATGCAGAAAGCTTATCAGATAACGCAACAGCTTTTAGTAACAGATCCAAACAGCTCAGAAGACAAATGTGGTGGCGAGGCTGCAAGGTAAGGCTTATCTTGTTTCCTAAATATTGCAGTTGTGGTTTATTTGACCAGTTCGGTTTATTTCTTTTATCTTTCTATACCTTTCAATTTTATCTTTTAAAATAATTTTTATTAAAAGTTTTAGTTAGAACAATAAAAGATAATACCAACTGAAGAAGAAAAAAAGAAAAGAAAAAAGATGCAAAAAAGAAAAAGAGTAAAAAAACCCTAAGAAAGTAACTTCTCACTCTCATCACAAGTTTCATAATTTCTTCACTTCTTAATTAATAAATATAAAACTCTTCATCTCATAACTCAAGTCTAACTTTATGTTGCCTAGAAATCAGGCAACCCAGTTTTAACATGGATCTGATCCCTAATTTGAGGGATCCCTTATCTTTGCAAAGGAGCTTCTTCATCCACATGAAAATATAAATCAAGTAATATAGGCAAATATTTATATTTTGTACCATAGTTATTTATTAACAGGGAAAGTCAAATCTTTTTATAGAGTACAGAAACAAATGACATCAGGAAGCAGCTGATCAAATAATAAAAGACACTGATTACATGTGAGAATTGAACAATAGAAAACATTGATTCTAGATAACATTCCACAAGTGGCAAATTTATGCATTATGTTACACCCTTTCCCAGGTGGATTTGTATCTTTCTTAAAACTTGTAGGCACATTCAAAGACTTTCAGAATATACTCTATTGTTTAGTTCTGAAAAGGCAAGTTCTTGCGTACCAAAAGAAATTATCTTAGCTAAGAAGAAAATCATTCTTTCCCGAAATTAGAAAAGAGGCCTAGACTGCCACAATAAAATGTTAATAAAGCCTAAAATTCTAGATAACATATAGATAATTCCAAAACATCATCTCCAGTCCAGATATCAGTGAAAAGTCCAAACAGAGCCCTATAATAATATTTATTTAAAAGGCATAAAATGATCCTGGTATGCTAGTGTAAACAAAAAAACTAAGGAGGATAGGAGCATTTCTCCATTAAAAAAAATACAACCTCACACATGCCCCTTAATTCTATAGTAACTGTAGGGGGAAAACCCCTTAAACACTACATTAAGTGTAGACAAACCCAATCCACATCATTTTTCCACTCCCAGGGAGACACATCATAGCATATAATTGATTCAAAGTTTTGGTGCAATATCAGAGTTTTAATATTCAAAATCCAATTTTCCCACATTTTTGAGCCCTTAATATGTTTAAAACTTTCTAGAGCTAAAATCTTGTCTTGCTTTTTGCTGTTTATTTTAAATTCTTATATTTAAATTTCTTATATAAAGTATTGAAGACACTAACATGTTTGCAATCTTGTCACTTTGAAAGCATCTAACTTCTTCGAAGCAATTAATAGACAGCTTTTAAAAGTGTTTAGCAAGAGAAGTGCAAAATTCCATTAAAGCTTGTGTGCAACTATGGCAAATTCCCTTGCCTCCCAATTCTCCCACCCTCCGAAGACTGCTGACTTGCTGTCTCTAGTAAGGATCAACTGTAAGGAAAACTGCTTGGGCAATCCCACATCCTCTCTTTGTCCAGAGAAGTTCAAAAGATCCAATCTACTCATTGTTCATGGTGCACACATCAGCTCTGCTTTTCATAGAGCTGTCTTCAGTCTGCCACCTTTCCTAGAAGCTCTATGTCTTGCAAATCTGTGAATATTCAGCAAAAAAAAACCCCACCACTTATGTCAAGAAACCACACACAAAAACTGTCTATACTCTTATCTTGTAATAATCAGTAGTACAATTGCAAACACTGGTTTACTGCTTAAAAGCAACCATGCTTTATTTATTTACTTCATTCAAACTTCAGAGCATCTAAAAGTGCATTATGCCTTCCATGATCTCAATTTGAAGGATGCTTCCAAGTGCAGGCAAGCCAATGAGCTCAGGAAAAGATACAGCTTTTTGAAATAATTGCTGCTTAGTATGATATAAGCATCTTGGTATGCTCTGAATAAACTTTCCCCCTTCAAATCTAGATCGTTAAATAGCCTAATAAATACAGCTAGGCATTGATTAACTATGGCAATTGATAATGGCAACTCCGTCACTAAGCAATCTGTTCATTTATTTATTTATTTATTTATTTTATTTTATTTATTTATTTTTTTTTTAATTTGATTTATATGCCGCCCTTCTCTGGAGACTCAGGGCGGCTTACAATGCGCTAAGCAATAGCCTTCATTCTTTTGTATATTTATACAAAGTCAGCTTATTGCCCCCACAAACTGGGTCCTCAATTTACCTACCTCAGAAAGGATGGAAGGCTGAGTCAACCTTGAGTCTTGGCGAGATTCGAACCTGCAGTAATTGCAGGCATCTGGTCTTAATAACCAGCTTAATAACAGGGTGCCTTAGACCACTGTACTACCAAGGCTCTATTTATTTTTTTATTTTTATTAGATTTCTATACCGCCCTACTCCCGAAGGACTCAGGGCGGTGCACAGCCAAACAATAAAAACACATACAATACAAAATTTAAAAAATAGAATAAAATCAAATTAAATAATTTTGGCCCCGACAAATTTAAAACCCCAAACTTTTAAAACCGATTTAAAATTGAATATATAAATACTAAAAGATATTTAAAATTTTAAAAATCTTTTATAAAAGAGGGGGAAAATTAGGCCAGGCCGGCCTGGTGAAATAGTAAGGTCTTTAAGGCACGGCGGAAGGTGCGCAGATCCAGGATCCTCCGTATCTCTGGGGGGAGCTCGTTCCAGATAGTAGGTGCCCCCACAGAGAAGGCTCTCCCCCTGGGGGCCGCCAGTCGGCATTGTTTGGCTGACGGCACCCGGAGGAGCCCCTCTCTATGGGAGCGTACCGGCCGGTGGGAGGCTATTGGTGGTAGTAGGCGGTCCCGCAAGTACCCGGGTCCTAAGCCATGGAGCGCTTTAAAGGTGGTAACCAAAACCTTGAAGCGCACCCGGAAGACCACCGGGAGCCAGTGCAGCTCACGCAGGAGAGGTGTTACATGGGAACGCCATGTCGCTCCCATTACCACCCGCGCGGCCGCACTCTGCGCCAGTTGGAGCCTCCGGGTGCTCCTCAAGGGGAGCCCCATGTAGAGAGCGTTGCAATAGTCCAGGCGGGAGGTGACAAGGGCATGAGTGACTGTGCGTAAAGAGTCCCGATCCAGAAAGGGACGCAACTGGCGAATCAGGCGAACCTGATGAAAAATCCTCCCGGTCACGGCCGTCAAGTGCTCTTCTAAAGACAGCCGTGAATCCAGGAGGACGCCCAAGTTGCGAGCCCTCTCCGTGGGGGCCAATGATTCGCCCCCAATAGTCAGTGATGGCGTCAACTGACTATATCGGGACGTCGGAAACCACAGCCACTCAGTCTTGCATGGGTTGAGCCTGAGCCTGTTCCTCCCCATCCAGATCCGTATGGCCTCCAGGCACCGGGACATCACTTCAAGGGCATCGTTGGGGTGATCCGGGGTGGAGATGTACAGCTGGGTGTCGTCAGCGTACTGATGGTACTCCACCCCGAAACCACGGATGATCTCGCCCAGCGGCTTCACATAAATGTTGAACAGGAGAGGCGAGAGGACCGACCCTTGCGGCACCCCACATATGAGGGGCCTCGGGGTCGACCTCTGTCCCCCCCTGTCAACACAGACTGCGACCGGTCAGAGAGAAAGGAGGAGAACCACCGCAACACAGTGCCTCCCACCCCCAACTCTTCCAACCGGTGCAGCATGATACCATGGTCGATGGTATCAAAAGCCGCTGAGAGATCTAACAGGACCAGGACAGAGGAGCACCCCCTGTCCCGAGCCCTCCAGAGATCATCAACCAACACGACCAATGCCGTTTCCGTGCTGTACCCGGGCCTGAAGCCCGACTGGAACGGATCCAGATACGTCGTTTCATCCAGGTGCTGGGGGTCGCTTGCGCGACCACACTCTCAACAACCTTCGCAACAAAGCGAAGATTGGAGACCGGACAATAATTTACCAACATTGCCGGGTCCAGGGAAGGCTTCTTGAGGAGAGGCCTCACCACCGCCTCTTTCAAGGTGGCGGGAAAGTCACCCTCACTCAGTGAAGCGTTTATAATCCCCTGGAGCCAGCCTCGTGTCACTTCCCGGGAAGCCAGTACTAACCAGGAAGGACACGGGTCCAATAAACAAGTGGTCGCGTTCAGTCTACCCAGAATCCTGTCCACGTCCTCAGGGGTCACAGGATCAAACTCATCCCAGATAACATTCTCAAGACCTGCCCCTGTCTCTCCCCCTGAGACTACCCAGTCGGAGTCCAAATCTTCCCGAATCTGAGTGATTTCATAAAGTATGGCGTGTGATAATGACTTACAGTGGCAATTGCAGCAGTCCCAGTTCCCACCATTTGGTGAATCCCACATAGTCACAATGTCCTGTGGTCATGTGATCACAGCTTGCAACCTCCTTCCAGCTTTCTCATTGACTTTGTTGGAAGCCAATAGTTAATATCTCAAATGATAATCGAGTGACTGCAGGACACTGCAGCGGTTTTAATTGCAAGCTGGTTGCCAAGTACCAAGTTTGCAATTACATGATTATGGAGATGCTGCAGCAGCCACTATTGCAAGGAATGGTTATAGGTCCTCTCATTCAGCACCATTATAACTTTGAACAATTGTTGAATGGGAACTATCTGTACCCACGTTTTGGTTTAACCTGATTTGACCCTTGAGGTTGGCCAGATTACGTTATTTTGAAGCTGTGTAAACACTTTGAATTATCTGAGCACACTCATTATTGGCATGCTATTGAACCAGGATTAAGCTGATCAATTGTGTCTACAATTGGGAATTAATTACTTACTTTTCTGTGTGTTAATTTGCAGATGAAGGCAATTGTGGCTTTGGTTGCTGTTGTTGTCTTGCTAATCATTATTGGTACGTATTCCTTTCTGATATTCTTCTAAATACAATAAAATAAGTAAATAAAATGTTCTGCATTGATGTTACTCCTTTGAAATAGTTTGATGACATTCTTGATTGGTAAAAAGAAAACTTACCTTTTCTTCAGCCTTTCTGCTTTGATATTTGGCTCCTTCTGTTTGTTTGGCCATTGATGTAAAGTTTGCTCCAGATCTTTCGCTTTAATAGGGATACTAGAATATTTGGGACACTCCCAAATACATTACACTCCCTGTAATGTTTAGATGTGAGTTGTGTCTGCTTTAAGAATAAATAGGAACCATTTAGCCAGAATTAAACACTTTTTAGGAATAACTAATTAGGTTTATGTAATTTTCTTGTCTGGAGTTTATTAGGTGAATTTAGCTGCAATGCTTTATAAACCCGAATTTATTATTTATATTATGTTAACCTATTTAGTTATAAGTTATTAAGATAACTATAGTTAAGCAAGCCATGACTTACCACAGTAAGTAAATTCAATATTGTCACTGTAAAACAGTGACTAGAAGTGATAGGTGTTTTAGGGTTGAAACTAGTTAGTTGATTTATTTTTATAAGTGATTTAAAGATGGCGTTTTTCTGTCTTATGCAGTTCCCATCATCCTCAAACACCGCACTTGACTTGGAGATGAACGCCCTTGTAGACACCACTTCAGGATAACAGCAAAGCTAGCAGCTGTATGATTTCAGTGGAATGTATTGTGTATATAGCTTTGAAGTGCATCCTGCTCTCAAACCCCAGGGAGGCACATGCACAGTTCCACCAAGAGCATCCAGAGGGCCTGGCAAACATATGACTTTCAGTCAAGAATTAACTATACTGTCAATATCCGACCCAAAAACCTCATTGTTGCTCTTACAAAGGAACCTATATGGAATCAGATACTTGTCAGTATTTCATCTGTTTTTTTAAATAATGTATATATAAGTGAGTGTGTGTGTGTGTGTGTGTATATATATATATAGCAAATTGATAATGTTATTTATAATTTAAATAGTTTCCTACAGCTAGTAGTGGAGGGAAGAATTATGGAGGGAAGAAGGAAGTGTATAGTCTATATCACTGTTTAAAAAAACATTCTTTCTTCAACTGAATTTAAGGGATTCTGAAGCTCTGTGTTGCTATTATTGCTCAATATTGTTCTATAAAAGCATTCCAGTAAAAAAACCCTATTTTTGACTGCAAATATGTAGCTCTTAGTAAATTACTAAAATAAAGAAGCTGCTAATTCAGTTAAGACAACTTAAGTTTTGCAAACTTTGAAACTATAGACAAAAAAGAATGCTCTTACTTATACAACTGCAGGCAAAGCAATATGATTTCTGCTTCAATAGACAAAAATGCATTTCTTTTTTACCTTTGAAACCCACAGTTGGCCTGAGGTTCTTCATCTAGGGCCTAGGCCTTTAGTAATAGTTTTAGGACTCCCTGGAATCTCTTTCTTCCATGTTTATTATTTGAGCTGCTTATTATCCCATTCTCTAGGAAACGTTCTTATGCATTACTGTGTGCAGAGGAATGAATATTGCTTTCTGAGTAGGCATGAATTTCAGTACAGAACTACTGGCATGAGAAAGAGAGTGCAGGAAGTTCTCAACCTGCAGCCATTTGTTTAGTAACCATGCAAAGTTACAGCGGCACTGAAAACAGTGACCTATGACCATTTTTCATACTTACAATCGTTGCAGCATTCCCATGGTCACATGATCAAAATTTGGATACTTGGCAACTGGCATGTATTTCTGACAGTGCCTCAAGATTATGTGAGTACTTTTTGCAACTTCCTGACAAGCAAAGTCAATGGGGAAACCAGATTCACTTAAAAGGACTACCTGTACCATGAAAGTATACTTCTGCATTTAATTTTCCAGCTTCAAGACCTAAATAACTTTAAATGTTTGTTGTGGCAAGGTATCATATTCATATGGAGGTGTGAAGGAGTGTGTGTATATATGTATATACATATGTGCATTAAAAATGTGTTTTGTATGGTTCATATGTCATTCCATGATACAAAAGGTTGCCAAAGCATGGAATATTTTATTGTATTAAAGTACAATTAAAATAAGGTCAATCACACAAAGCAAAGCAGTAAAATAATATCAGGGAACAAAATAAAAATGTCTTTGCACAATACTGGAAAACATTGCATCCTCTTCAAGTGATAATGTACCTTTTTCTAAAGCAGACAAATTATTTTACATGATTTGTAAATCACTATGGTAATTATGGAGCACAAAATAATGGTTTGAGACACAGAAAAAAAAAGTTCTATATAATGAATCATTTTTCTTGTGTAAATGGCCTGAGTAATATACTTCTTTTGGGATGATGCTTTGTGATACTTGCAAATCAATGTGTAGTCTTGTATTACTGGAGAGACTGGCTAATTTTCTTGATGGCTGCATTGTATTTCCATATTTTTATCCAACTGCTCTGGATTCTATTCATTCCAAAGCTTTCCTCAAGCTTTTAAAAAGAAATTTTTTGGGTTTTCCCCCTTCATGCTGCCATTTATTTTTTTTTAAATCCTTTGTTGACCTTGGTTACACTCATTCCTTTCAACTGAGGAATTGTTTGACATTGATTGAAAAAGCTTATTTTAAGACAACTTATTTTTGTGTGAGGTACTATTGCTGCTATTGAGCCTCTTAAATTGATTTCCATATTGTTAACTTTTCCTGGTTTTCTCTCTGAACTTTTGGTAATTTTCTATTCCTATAATTTGCTATTACTGCATGCTTCTTTCTGATCATACTTTGGGGGGAGGGATCCCCCTTATTTCTTTTGCATTGCTACTTTACATTGATAACTGCTAAAACTTTTTGTTCCTATGCCTTCAATCTAGTTTTCCTAATTGTTTTCTTCTATATGTCCTGTCGTTTCATTCTATGAATAGCAAAGAAGTCATTCATTTTTTTTCAACATGTGGAGAAAAATTACCACTGATGGAGAAGATTAAGGTAACTGGCAAAATTTGGGGTTATACTGTATAATTTCAGTTATTTAATACAGTATGCCTTTCCTCCTCCAAAAGTTTGACATGTTATCACTATCTGATAAAACTACTGTAATCAAGATCCAAAAGACAGATATGGAAACAAAAAACATGAACTTTCATTAACTTGTTCATCTGCCACAAGGAAAAGAAATTATTTGCAATTACATTATGTGCAAGGCAGCCTTTCCATGGGTGTAAAGTATAAACTGACAGAAATATGCATGATATATTACCTAAGTAAAGAGAGCTTTTTAAGTTCTGAGAAATAATATTTTGAAGAGACTCAGGCAAATTATTTGGGAAATAAAAGGGAGGAGAGGAGAAGCACAATCAGGTTTGCAAGGTTCTGTTATTATAGCCTATCTCAATAAAGTATAGTTCTGCTCTCCCTGTGGAATTGATTTTCTGGTATTCCTAGAGGGGCTGACAGTGGGGAACAGAAGCTGCTCCAGAACAAACGAGAAGAGAACCAGTCATCCTTACTTCTACAACATCAGGAAGGAGTATGAGAAGCTGGAGAAGTATCAGAAAGAAAGAAAACTAGAGAAGATGTGGAAAGTAAAGACCTAAATCCATGATGGCGAACCAATGACACGCGTGCCAGAGGTGGCACGCAGAGCTCTCTCTGGGGGCACACAAGCCGTCGCCAGCTGCTCTTCGGGTTTCTGGCACATGTATACACGTCAGCCAGCTTGTCTTCCCATGCACTGGAAACCTGAAGACCAGCTGGCCAGTGCACACATGCCTGTTTTTTGGTGGTTTTTTGGCCGTTTTCGGCCTGGCTGGAGCACACATGCAGTCTGATTCACATGCGTGTGCCAGCCAGCTGGTCTTCGGGTTTCCGGTGCTCTGGCGCACGGGAAGACGAGCTGGCTGGCGCGCATGCCCGTGCTGGAAACCCAAACACCAGCTAGCCAGTGCGCACATGCACATCAGCCAGCTACTCTTTGCGTTTCCAGCGCTCCAGCACATGCATGCGCATGCAACCGAGTTCCGGTTTGGTCACCAGAAAGGTTTGCCATCACTGGCCTAAATGGTCCAGTGATGGTAGAAGTACTTGGGGCTGAGATTCCTAAATTGGGAGAGTGGTTCCAACGTATTCCAGGAACAACGTTGGCGCTCTCTATCCATAAGAGTGCAGTGCTAGGAACTGCTAAGATAGTGCTCAGAAATCTCAAGCTCCCGGGCATCTGATAGACCAGAGATTAAGAAAGACACGTGCCTCTGAAAAGGATGACAAATGCAAAGGCTTTGTTTTTTTAATTTGTTCTGTTTATTAAGTTCATATGCTGCTCATCTCACTATTGAGGTGACTGGGTAGCTTACCAAATGATAAAAAGGTAAGTATAAAAACAATTATAATTAATAAGAAATAGCGACTAAAAAACAAGAGGACATAGGATAGGGGTGGAGTCTTGTCACCCTGTCAGTCACTTCCAGCATGGAGCACCCCCATAACAGCAACAGGTCAACTGATAGAGCCAGGTTTCAAAGCCCTTTTGAAAGGCCAAAAGGATAGAGGTGGATATCGGCTCCAGTGACAATGGAGAAAAGGCTCTTCTAGACCTTCCCATTCGAAGTCCTCAAGGAGGTGATCTGCTTGATTGTGTCTGTTTGCAGAGCCTGGAGAAAGAGGTCCACCCTTGCATGGAAGATCTGACTTTTAAAAGTTGTGGATGAGGCTATGGAAATTTCTACAGTTCTTGCCTTAGAAGCATCCAGGTTCAAGGGTTGGTAGAAGGAAAGAGTGGGCAATTCCTCCACTGTATTGGGGAGAAAGCTGAGATGAATAGCAACTACAACTCTCCCTCTTTCCACATTTCCAAATTACTAACAAAACTTTGCTGTCTTTTGATAGCCAAATCTGGCCCTAGGTTCTGCCTTGGTTTAACTTCCCAATAAGCAACCGAGTCGAGTCGGAAGAGCCTTTAAAAGCAGTTTATCAGGGGACCTGATAAAGTGGGATCTCTATGTAAAAGGAGAGAGAACCTTGAGCCCTATGTTAAGTTCCTTTTTATAGTTAAAGAAAAATGAAAGAGGAAAGTTGGTTGGATAAGATAAGAGTCCCTCCTTGCATAGTAAATCCACCACAAAGTTTGTTTGAATTTAGATAACCAGATGTTGGTTGACACTAAGAAACTTCTTATCAGAAGATATTATCCAGACATTCTTCTGTAAATTATCTTTTCAGTTTAGGAATGTTAAAAGCTATCTAATCAATCCATACAACCATAGAACAAAAGTTTTCAAAGATTTCAATATGTAATGAGCCTGAACATAGACAATAAGTCAAATTAAAATACAAAATAACTGTTAATTAACAAATTACAAAATCCTTGTTATGTGCCCCTCACTTTAGTTCCTTTAATTCTTATACTAAACTATGGAACTTGGGATACTGAAAGAAAATATCCTAGAATAAGAGAAAAATATCAAAACATTACTGTATTGGTCTTCCCAGAATAATCTAGAAAACATTTGGATATTACAGATTTGGCCATCTTCCCCTCAACCCTAAATTGTTTTATTCAGTTGATCTCATTTTCTAGATTCATAAAATACAGAGTCACAAACTGCAGAGACTGAGTTCACATACCAGGCTAAGCTAAAATGAGATATACTACTTTTATGATGCCATTTGCTGTGTGACCTCACCCTAAATAAAGTGATGAGAGAATTCAGAGTGGCCATTCTGAATATGCTAGAATCCTGTTGGAAAAAGTTGGTGGAGAGGTCACTTTTGCCATGTCCGATTAATCTTGCTAAAGCAGAACTTCCAAAATAAAGTTTTGGAAGCACAGAAGACTGCAAGAGAAAGAATCATAGTGTCATTTTTCTAGCCATAGAAAATAATAGAACCCCATCTATTTTGATGCACGCATCTATTTTCATAATAAAATTTATTTATAAAATACCCAAAATGTATGTATGTATGATGTTACATCTTACAAAACAGAGTTTTTTAAATGGCTGTTAAATACTGTAGAGTAACTGTGCAGAATCCCAAAGAATAGTTCTCAGCCATTTCTTTTCTCATATATGCATCCACAAACATGTAAGCTGCTGACTTTATAGATGTATACAGCTTTCAGATCTGCCTCCATGAGCCAAAATTTGGCAGTTTGTCTTGTAATATTTTCTAAGAAAAAATGCTATTCCTTTAAGAGATTTTTAAAATTTGTAAAATGTTCTGTAAGTGCTGCTGCTTCTAGCCAACCTCTACTGCACCTCCCTTAACTCCCAACTCTACAAAACTGTGGTTTGCAAGCATTGAATTAATTTATCCATGTTCTGTTTCTCACAGAACTTGCTTCACTTTAAAAGAGAGAGGCTGGTGTGAAATCACAGGGATGCTGGTGACATGGTTGATTTCAGTCTGGATGGCATGGGGAACATTTGGGAGTAATGTCCATTTTCAAAAAAACAATAGCCAGGATGGGAGATGCATTTATTCCTTCTCTGTACCCAGTAAAAATGAAGACAGCTGTGCTGGCTTAAGTGAGGTATTAATAACCATTCAAGATCTCCAACGGGAGAGCAAAGCTCAGCAGCTGGAACTAGAGTCAACTAGAACTCGGCTTGGCCTTCTGGAGAACCAGGTGAATCAGCTACATGGGAGTCAAGTTAGGAGGACTTCTTTATCTACAGTTGGCTTACTTCAAAGAGAGGTAGAGAGTCTGAAGAGGGAACAAGCTCAGAGGGACATCCACATCAGCAGCCTGGAATCTACCATAAACGATCTCCTTCAAGACAAGTCAGCTTTGGAAGAAGAGAAGAAATGGCTGGAAGAAGAAAAGAATGAGTTGGAGAGAAGGTTAGAGAAAAGCATTGAGGAGGTGGCTCAGCTGAGAGTAAGCGATTGTCCTCAGACCAGAAAAACCAGCAGTGAGTTCCATCAAGGCTTTCAGGAAGGTAAATCTGGAGGCTCTCCAGCTAGGAAATGTGCTCTTAAAAATCTATAATGTACAATTATAAATTATTTATTTTTAATTAATCATTTTTAAAGAAAGAAAGCAAACAAGTGAAGAAAATGTTATGAAAATAAGTTAGGAAAACTTATTAAAATTTAGCCATGAAAACAAAATACATTATTTCTAGCAATAAAGAAGAGGATTTTTGAGTCTCTAAGTCCCAGAGTCTGCACCATTTGGTTACCGGTATTTAAAAATATATATATTTTTAACGAGTGAAGGAGAAGAGAAAAAAATACTTCTTAAAAACATAAGTAAATATTGGATCTCTAATTTCTCTTTTGTTATACTCTGACTGATACATAATAAGGTAATAAGTTTTAAGAATCTGTTGATCGCTTTCTTCTACATGCCCAGTCACAGGATCTGGCTTTGATCTACCTGCATTTATGGAAAAAGCTCAAAGAGTGAGAATTGCCATCCTGGAGAAATCAGAGGAAGGCAAAGAGGACCACTGCTTGGATTCTGTAAAATTTCATAGATTCAGACTATGACAAATATTTCTCAAAAAGATAAGTTAAGATGATTCCCCTCTAAAAAGTTAACAATACTACAAAGACAGAGAAAGTTCGTACATTTTAAAGATGTCAAGTTTCATGAACATATTTTTATATTTGGCTTGACACTTTAGTATTATATTTAGTTTTTACTGAGTGCTTCTGTACTGGAGACAAATTCCTTGTGTGTCTAACCACACTTGGCTAAATAAAATATAAGTACAGTACACGCCTTCTGATTACTCTAGGTTTGAATGACACAAACGTGAATCTAAAGCATTCCAGCAAAAGTTTGACTCCTCCTGGAAAGCAGTGAGCTATAGAAAACAGTATATTAAGCCAAGAATTGTCTGATGTTTGAGAAGAAACAAGGAAAAGTGGAATTGGAAACAACTAAAGGAAGGAAAGTTGGAAAAGCATGGCTACAAACTTTATGATTGCAAATGTTTGACTTTAACACAAAAGCAAGAAGAGAAAGAAGATGCTATTTACTAGTGGGCCAATTTGGAAAAGGCTGATGTTTTGGGTGTGGTGGGATCTGGCTTATTGTCTTTTGAGCAGAAAACGAGATAGAAAATATGACTATAAATATTAAAACAATTGTCCATGGGAAATGATTTTGTCAGAAGAGAAGAAATGTGGGAATTCTTTGGCAGACGGGTACTGTTTTTTCTTAGCATCTGTCCTACATGGTTGTGAGGTATACTTGCTCAGTTCTTACAGGAAAATCTGCCAATCAGTGATATGACCCAGAGGATATTTTTTTAGCTAGCCTGATGCTGATTTGGGCTAAGGAGTTTTGGAAGAAATATCCAGGTCCAGTTCCAAGCCGGGAGAAAGGCACTGGAGACAAAATGGAGTTAGGGGCTGATTGGAAAGAGGGTCCATTTATTGATGAAGCAGAAGCACAAGGATAGTTCTGGGCAGCTGACCACATGGAGTTGAGAGGGAGGGGTATTCCTCCAATACCCCTCCCTCTCAATGGTAGCTGTCCATATGAGCAAGGTATTACTTCCTGGGATCCTCAATCATATGCAGAGCCTTCATAGATGGACCAAAAGCAATGAAAAGCCTTAAAGAAGAGCAAATCTGTTACTTTTGTATTGCAATTCACAAACTCTATTTACCATAGAGAAGTATTTTTGCCACCAATAGGATCTATCTACATGTGGAATGGCAAAACTAACATTTGTGTCTCATTTCTCCTGAATATGAGAAGTCACACCAGATTCATAGCTCTTGATGAGGCAATTCTGTGCATACGATACCTAATTTATAGCCTACTATTATAAAGTTCCAGATTCAGATCTTATAGTATCAATTGAAGGCTTTTAGTTATACCATCTTCTTAGTATAAGATCCTCCTCTACTTGCAGTGTACCTGCTTTACAAAATAATTCAATGAATAATATGTCTGAAATGCTTTCTACACACTAAAGTGATCTTCACTTATAGTGAAGTTTTCAGATAAAGTCACAAACTGCTCTTTGATGTGTATAAATTGTCAACACTTAGGCATACTGTAACATTGTTTCTTCCTTCCATTTTCTCTGAAGTGTCTAAGTGGGATACTGAAAATCTGGGCTATCAGGAGCTCAAATTAGAGTTTGCTGAGGTTTCTTCATCTCATCTCATTGAGGAAGGCATTTCACCCTCACCTCCTAGCATAGGTGCTGAAGAACCAGGTATTAAATTTTTTGTGTGTTCCTGATATTTTTCAGCTCTATTTAGCCCTGAGTCTGCCATTCTCTTCCTCCAAGCTCACTAACTATTTTTTCCTATTTAGTACTTATTTTGCCCAGGTTTTAGCTTAGAGTTTGGAAATAGCTTCATTTTAGTCTAAAGACAGAAAGGGAATTTTTTTTTGCCTGCCAGTTTATTTTTTCAGAAGTGCCATCTAGTCATAAAAGTAAAGATATTAAAATAAGTTCCTAGTATTTTGCATGAGAGTCAATCTCATAGCATCCTGACCAATTCTGGAGGAAAAAAATCTTTGAAATAATTGTGACACAGAGTGTGGCTCAGAGGCTCAATGAAGGGAAGACTAAAGTCCATTTCAGCCATTTGCTTGAACTCAAAAGGTTGGGGTCCACAAACTGGTTTCAAACTCCATATGTTTACCCAAATAGCCTGCAGGAAGGCTAAATTCATGGATAGATGAATGGGAATGCAGCTCTGGTATTGATGGTATTATTTTAGGAGCATCACCCTGGTTTATGTGAAATAGCATTTGATAAAACTAGCTGCATAAAATACAATAATTTTGCAAAGAGGACAATAAATGCATATACTAGCCAATGCTTTAACAATGTAATCCTATGTCTTTGAACTAGAAAATAAGGCCAGTTGATCTCTGAAGTGCTTATTTTGAGAAAATGCATTCTTGGCTAACTATCAGGCACTCCTCCCCACATGTGTTTTTGGTTCTCTTTTATAACAACCAGACTATGTTTGGTTCAGTTGTTCCCTGGCTCTCAAGCAAGCTCTTTCTTTCCTCTTTCATTCCCTTTCCTTCCTATGGAACCAAGCCTACATTTCACGTGTTCCCAATCTGAAGTCCTACACAAAAGTTCCATAATTAACTGAACATTTCTCCTGAATTTCATTTCTTCTGCATTGATTTCAAATGCTGGAAAAATGTGGAAAATATTAACCCTACATCCATTTCTCATTGTTCTTTTTAGAAAAAAAATCAAAAGGGTTATAACTTTGCTTTTGTCTAAGGATAGCTAACCTTTTTTGATATATGTGAAATCATTTGGGCTAAAGTAGGAAGTACATTCTGAATTTAGGAATAGACAAATACTGTTACATACCCCAAAACTGCCAGTGTTGCAAATGGTATTCAGAATTTTAAAAAGTAAAGGCATTATTTGAAAGATAACTTTCATTAAAAAAATACTCCAAAATAACTTAAGAAACCTCAAAGACAAACAATACTATTAGCTGTCTTGATTACCAAAAGGTGGAATATAAAATATTTTTTTATATTTTATATAAATTATATATATTATTCCATTAATAAATAAAATGGAAGAAGCCTTTTCTCCATTCCTTATATTTTCTTGAATAGCAGAGCCAGAAAAAAATTAGCTTCAGAAAACTGGTACTAATTGGAATTAGACATGTTAGCCTAGACCAGGGCTGTCAAATTCCCGGTCCGCAGGCCAGATGCGACACGTGCTGGCCACGCCCACGCCCAGTTTAGCAAAAGGGGGGAAAAGTCCCAATACATCATGTGATGCCGCCGTGACAATGTTAGTTTGACACCCCTGGCCTAGTCAGAGCAAGAGTCTGATTAATCCAGCTACACATGTTCATATAGGCTGATCTGCCAAATTAGAGGCATCCCTTGTTTTGGATTCTGTCTGGAGATCATCAATTTTTAAAGTAATAGTTTATAGCTACATATTCCTTAATTTGAGATATTAACTTCCTTGCTTATTTCCTGAATTAGGTTGTGGAACACTAGTTTGGGTTGGTGCACCAGTGACCTTTCACAAGGCTGACACCCTTACAGGAAAGTATGGTGTGTGGATGAAGGACCCACAACCTGTGTCTCCATATACCAATGAGACAATTTGGAGAGTTGACACGGTCAGTGCGGATGTCCGTCATGTCTTTGAATATGATGATCTGGATGAGTTTGTGAAAGGCTACCCTTCCAAAGTTCATGTGTTGCCCAGATCCATGGAGAGCACTGGGGCTGTTGTTTATCAAGGTTTCCTCTATTTCCAGAGGCACAAGTCTAGAATACTGGTGAAATATGACCTGAAGAATGAAGTCATTGCAGTTCAGAAGGAGTTGCCCGATGCTGGCTATCATGGACAATTCCCCTACTCCTGGGGTGGATATACAGATATTGATCTAGCAGTTGATGAGATTGGACTGTGGGTGATTTACAGCACTGAAAATGCCAAGGGAGCGATTGTGCTTTCTAAACTGGACCCAGAAACTTTGGAAATTTCACAGACATGGAAGACCAATATTCACAAGCAGTCTGTGGCTAACTCCTTCATGATCTGTGGCTCCTTGTATACCATTAGTAGCTACTCATCCCCTGAGACCACCGTGAATTTCATCTACCGCACAAGTACAGGAAGCAGTGCACCGCTGAAGATCAGCTTTGAGAACCGTTACAGATACAGCAGCATGGTAGACTACAACCCTACAGAGAAGAAAATAATGGCTTGGGATAACTTCAACATGGTGGCTTATAACATCAGACTTTCCAAGATGTGATTACCTTGGAGAGATTGATAATGGGAAATTAGGTAATGGAAATAGAGGTAGAAATTGAAGTTAGATAGCAAAATTTCCTCCCACTAATTATCAACTGACATGAATCACCCAGAATTTCTCCTGAGCTACCCCAATAGAAAAAAATAGCTATGCAATGTGGGATTGACTCTTGATCATTTTAATGAGTGTATACAATAAAATAGTCAGTGATTTACACTTCAAGGGTAATTTCCCACTCTGTTGTTTTTAATGGAGCACTGTGTATCTTCTTTAAAACATTAGCCTATGCATGCTGCAGCCAACTATAACACAAAGTCATACAGATTAACAGAGTTGGAAGGGACCTTATAGGTCATCTAGTCCAACCCCGCCCCCCTCATACACCTCTCAAAATGATATAGAGTCTCTTTTTTTAACAATTTCTTTTTAGTTTCCACTCAATAAGTGGAATATTTTGGTTGCTAGGCAGGACTGAATCAATTTTGTTACATTTCATTACATTTACAGTATATACTGTACAGTGACTCAAATTACAGAGGACCATAGAATCATAGGGCTGGAAGGGTCCTTGGAGATTTTCTATTCCAACTCTCTGCCCAAGGTAGGAGTCCTTATACCATCCTGGGCAAATTAATGCCCAATCTTTATTTGAAAACCTCCAGCCATGGAGCATTGACAACTCTGGGAGGCAAATTGTTCCACTGATTAATTGTCCTCAATATCAGGAAATTTCTCCTTAATTCTAGGTTGCTTCTCTCCTTGATTAGTTTCCATCCTTTGCTTCTTTTCCTGCCTTCTGGTGCTTTGGAAAATAGGTTGACCCCTTCTTCTTTGTGGCAACCCCTCATATATTGGAACACTGCTTTTATGTTTCCTCTAGTCTAGTCCCCCTTTTCATTAGACTAAACATACCCAATTCCTGCAACTGTTCCTTATATATTTTAGCCTCCAACCCCCTAATCACCTTTGTTGTTCTTCTCTGCACTATTTTCAGAGTCTCAACATCATCTTTATATTGTGGTGACCACAACTGGATGCAATGTTCCAAGTGGGTCTTACTAAGGCATTATAAAGTCTTCATGTGATTTTGATTCTATCCCTCTGTTAATGCAGCCTTAGATTGCATTAGCTTTTTTGGCAGCTGTAACAGACTATAACAGATGTAACAGACTGTGAAAATCCTTAATTGTATGACTTGGGACAAGATTAAATGTAGATGAAATCAAATTAATTTTTATTCTAGGGGATTCACTGTTTTTTGGGGCCTGTTGCCTCAGTCCAGAAATAATTGTATTTTATACTTAATCTGTAGGGTGTATTCTTCCATGTTCTTTCATTGTTGATTGATCTTTCCAGCAAAACTGGTTTGGCTTGAGAAAAGCAACTGCTTTATAAAGAGCAGTTCAACTGCTCTATATAAATTGTGGGGATTTGGTACATGAGTGTGACATCATCAAAGGCTGCTCACAAGCCAATCAGAATAAACCACTGATGACAAATTCACACAAATTTCATTAATATGGCAGCAGGCTAGATGCTGCTTCTCTTCAGCGGCAACTTCTCTGAAGTTTTAACAACTAGCCTATGTGACAACAGAGATCAAGGTGTCTTCTCCCATTCTTGCCTGTATCAGAAAAAACTTCTCTGATGTACATAAGAATAAAGCCATCAAGAAGAGTAATCCAAGCAACAATCTGGAATGCAAATAAGTGATCAGAAAGGTCATCCACTTTAGCTGGAGGTTTGATACTATTCAGTGAATTTCTTTTTCTTTCAAAATGCTCCTTCATTATCCCTGCAGACAATTTAAACCATAGTAAGAATTTTACTGAGAACTACGTTCATATTAATATTGGTTTTTAAATAATTTGCTTAAAGAGTAACTGAGATTTTTCTAAATGCTAGCTTAGTTTGTCTCATTTGTGTTCCACGTATGCTTTTTGATCTACATTTTCAGGTTCCTTGTGTATATATTTTCCCCTTTCATATGTATATAAGATGTACCTAAGAATCTGATAGCACTAGAAATTTGGTCCAGTATCTTAGAGGGAAAGGTCTAAGAGAGAGAAAGCTGAGCTCCAGAGGAATATCAGATTCAGAGATAGAAGTGTTCTAGACCTTGTCAGGACCTTTTACCAATCTAGAATAGATCATCCAGGTATCCCCACCCACCCATCAAAAAATATGGCAACACTAGATGTAATAATGAAGAATCTCCATTTAGTTTCCTTAACTTGCAATCTTTTTGGGGAAAAATGGGATGGGATACGGGTGGGAATTTGAGGACTCTATATAATTAGCTTTTAAAGAAAAATACTGCAAGTAGTCCTTGGCTTACAACAGTTTATTTAGTGACTGTTCAAAGTTACAATGGCACTGAAAAAAGGACTTCAGACCAGTTTTCACAGTTAGGACCGTTGCAGCATCCCCATGGTCATGTGATCAAAATTCAGATGCTTCACAACTGGATCGTATTTATGACTTTCACAGTGTCACAAGTCTCCTTTTGCAACCTTCTGACAAAGTCAATGGGAAAGCCATTACTAACTTAACAACTGCAGTGATTCACTTAACATCTTTGGCAAGGAAGGTCATTAAATGAGGCAATACTTAACAATTGTCTCACTTAGCAACAGATTTTGGGCTAAATTGTGGTTGTAAGTCAAGGACTACCTGTATTGGTTCAAGTCAGTATCCAAACTAGAATCTTCAAGTCACTGAACTGTTTTACTTTGAGTAGGCCCACATATTGTATTAAGCCACAATTTAGATCTGATTTATTAAATAGACCACACTTGACTGGACTGAGATGGCATACTAAGACTGAATCAATCAAATCATATTATATCTTAGCATATCATATGACCCAGCCTTCTGTTATAATTTATATCTCTTCTCAGCCAGCAACATATTTCTTGAGATAATCTATCTCAATAAAGTATAATTTCTTACCTCAAGGTTCCTTCAGATACTGCTGTTCCTACTTTTTCATCTGGTTCAGTCTTTTTATCTTTTTTTCACGTATAAACTCTATCTCTTATATTTCTTACCTTCGCTTGCTAATATCACCCACAAAATTCTAAACAGATGATATCAATTAAGAGACATAGGTTCATCCACATTACCGCATTTACTTCCAAAATAAAGTACTGCATTATGTAAGATTAAAAAAAACAAACAAATTATGGTGAAATTCTTCCAGACAAACTACTTCTAAACCTAAAATCCTATGGCATCTCCGCCCCCCCCATAACTGGATAACCGCGTTCCTGTCAAACAGACAACAAGTGGTCAAAATAGGGAGCCCCCTATCAAATCCTGCACCTGTTAATAGTGGTGTCCCCCAAGGCAGTGTTCTAGGACCAACACTTTTCATACTATACATAAATGACCTTTGTGATCATATTATAAGTAACTGCATTCTCTTCGCCGATGATGTAAAACTATTTAACACCACCAGCAATGCTGCTATCCTTCAAAAAGGACTTTGTGTCGGAATGGTCAAAAAATTGGCAACTCCAAATCTCAACTAAGAAATGCTCTGTCTTACACATTGGCAAAAAGAATCAGAACACAAAATACAAGCTGAGTGGGCACGACCTTGTAGATGACCCTCACTCTGTCAAGGACCTTGGAGTACTCATATCAAATGATCTAAGTGCCAAAGCCCACTGTAACAACATCGCCAAAAAGGCATTAAGGTTTGTAAATCTAATCTTGCGTAGCTTCTTCTCCGGTAATATCACCCTACTAACCAGAGCATACAAAACATTTGTTAGACCAATTCACAAATACAGCTTATTTGTCTGGAACCCACACTGCATATTGAACATTAATAAAATTGAACATGTCCAGAAATATTTCACAAGAAGAGTCCTCCACTCCTCTGCTTGCAACAAAATACCTGATGCCACCAGACTTGAAATTTTGGGCTTAGAAAATTTAGAACTATGCTGCCTTCGGTATGACCTAAGCATAGCTCATAAAATCATCTGCTACAATGTCCTACCTGTCAATGACTACTTCAGCTTCAACCACAATACACAAGCTCACAATAGATACAAACTTAAAGTGAACCACTCCAAACTTGATTGCAGAAAATATGACTTCAGCAACAGAGTGGTCAATGCCTGGAATGCCCTACCTGACTCTGTGGTTTCATTCCAAAACCCCAAAATGTTAACCTTAGACTGTCTACTGTTGACCTAAGAGGTTTGTAAGGGCACCAGCATGCCTACTGTTCCTGTCCTAATGTTCTCTTTAATTGTATTCATTTTATGTATTCAATTCATGCTTATACTTATATATATTATCTAATATGTACTCGACAAAATAAATAAATAAAAATTAAATAAATAAACAACTGGTTTCATGGTAAGAAATCCTTTCTGATTCAGGATTAGTCTATATTAACTAAAAACATCTCTGACTTATGATAGGACAAAGTCAACATTACTGCACCAGTTTAATCTGCTCCCACCATGACATCCAAATCAAGGTACATTTACATGTGTAAATTAATTATTATTGGTTAATGAGAATTTTTTTTTCTCCTCGCAGATCAAAATGTAACAGGTTTATGACAGTCAGAAAAAAATCTACTGGATAACTCAGAATAATAAGTTATTTGTTGCCAAGCCTTCAAATATGCTCAGATCCAGTTGGGCCTTGTATCCAGTTGGACTTTCTCCAAGCTTTCTGTCATCCTTGATCTAGCCATCAACATAATAATCTCATCACTACCATTGTCAAAATCAGCAGCTTCTTAGGGTTGTAATCAGAAGGCGAGGTGGCTCTAATGTTGTTCCAACCACTGGGGGCATTTTTCCATTCCAAAGGTCAGTCTGGGCTTTGACAAAATTATCTCCAGGGTGACATAAAACCCCCAAGAATCAGCAGGGTAATTATTTTATTCAGTCCTTAATCCTCACAGAGCTCTGAATTTTCATAAAATTATATTCCACCTGATACTGGCATGACCTTGATCACAGAAATATAGAAAAGGCCTCCACATTCTAGGTTATTTAATGCCACTCAGTTGTATGATCTGCTAGAATGAGTGGAGCCAAATATCCATTGGAACAGATTTCTCTGTGCTGGGGAGCAATGAAATGCTAAGTAACTCCAGGCAAGTTATAATCATTCATCTTCCAAAATCAATGTGGACTATCTTTGAGGCAACTCAAATTTTCTGTGCTTGTTCTCCTGCCTGCTATAATAAGCTGTTGTCCTGACAATAACTGCTTTGCTCCCTATCATTCCAATTGTTATACTCTGTTTCTATTTCTCTGTTCCTTTTCAAATATATATTTCAAGGCACTAAGCCAGTGATGGCTAACCTTTTTGCCGTCATGTGCCAAAAACGGGGGGAGTGCAGGGGGACATGTGTGTGTGTGCCCACACCCATAATCCAATGCGCCCCCTCTCATGCATGCGTGCACGACCTCCCGCACTCTCCCCACTTTTGGCACGCGATGGCAGGGTGGGCCCCAGCTACGGACCCCAAAGAACACAGCACACAGGTCGCTGACAGGCCACAACAGCCCGGTAGGCCCATTTTTTGCCCTCCCCAGGCTCCAGAGGCTTTCTTGGAGCCTGGGGAGGGCGAAAACAGCCTCCCCCCCTCCCTGAGGCCCTCCGGAGGCCGGAAATGTCCTTTTTGCTGACTTCGGTGGGACAGGAAGGCCCAAAAATCAGCCATGCGCGCCGGAGCTGAGCTAGGACAACACTTGCGTGCCCACCAATATGGCTCCGCATGCTACCTGTGGCACGCGTGCCATAGGTTCGCCATCACGGCAGTAAGCAGTCATTTTCTAAATTGTACAGGTGGTACATATCCACAATACAAATAAAATATATTTCTGCTATCTATCTGGAGGGCAAATCCAGGTACATTTAATGCAGTTGATGCATTGGCATATTTACAAGAAGCAGTGTGCTATAGTAGCAGATGGGATCTTCCACTAGACATCATTAGTTCAAAAATGCAGTTAGCTTGACCAAATCTTTCCTTTCATTCACTAATAAATTTGGGTACGCCAACCTGGATAGAATTTCATAGCACTGGACAAACACTCTTTGCTTTAGTAAAGTAGCTAAACCTAAGGTCCTTTTGAATGACTCCCATTTTCTACCCATGTCACACAGGTCAAGCATCAATGCCAGATGATTTACTACTCAGAAGCCCAGAAGAATGGACTTGAGGTGTCACTGCACACCACCTTTAACACCACCCTTTTCAGATACCTCTTCCCATTTGTCCCATGGGATCCACAATTTATCTCCTCATGGCCTTAGTAGAGGATTGCCCTGCAAGTATGTGGTCCACTCTGTAAGATCTCATCAAAGGTTGCCTTGTCCCTGCAATCAGAGCTGCATGAGATGTCTCCTAGAGAACCAGACCTTTTCCACCAATGATGATAACATATGCCCACATCTCATTAACAAAAACTCTCCAGTCTGCTGCCAAGAAAACCAAAACACTGTCAGTCTTGAATCATGTGTCCATTCTCACCCTTTGTGGCTCTCAGCTCAAATAGAAGCGAGTAGGATACAGCCTTTGCTAGGTAGCTGGGCTGTGCTTTCCAAAGCTCCTGTGCAAGAGGCAATTGATCTATCTGAGCACCAAGCGATGCCTGAGAACTGCATTGTTTACTCCCTTAACGCAAAGGATTTAGACTCTACAGGGCAAAGTAGACACTGTATTCCTTCTGTACCAAAACATTATGCTATCTATTCATCACCCATTTCTTCCAGTTACCATTTGCAAAATGAAATTGGTCACCGATTCTCTAACAACATACCACCCATGCTTGTTGCTCTGTATCCCAGGGAACGGGGTTTGCCACCTTATGTAGAACAACTAGACCAAATTGATCGAACTCCCACACCTTCTCTGGCAGAGAGTTATCTGGCCTTCTCTGGCTAATAGACCATATGCTAAGAATACTGAAATTTTTGCTTGAGCTAAAAAGTCTGCAAATTCATCCAATCACTTGCTTAGTTTCATTTCACACTTTGCTCCTCGCTATGGAAGCTTGGCTTTGTTCATCCTGCTGCTTTGGACTGGCTGATCTGAGTGCTTAAGCATCATGGCGGAGATGGATTTGAACAACAAGAGGAGTGCTATGGCATACAATGCTGCTTCTTGAATTAAGGTTGGTGTGTAGGGTGGGTGCAAAAGTTGTTCCTTATGGTATATATCAGCTTTATTCCTGGATACTGTAATTCTATACTCTAGGTAGTAGTAGAAATAGCACATAGACTTATATACCGCTTCACAGTGCTTTACAGACCTCTACGTGGTTTACAGAGTCAGCATATTGCCCCCAACAATCTGGGTCCTCATTTTACCCACCTCAGAAGGATGGAAGGATGGTCACTCTTGAGCCTGGTGATATTTGATCTGCCAAACTGCTGGCAGTCGGCCGTCAGCAGAAGTAGCCTGCAATACTGCATTCTAACCACTGCACCACCATAGCTCTTGGGTAGGTAATCCTAATTTGGCAACTACAACTGGGGCCCATAACTTGGTCATTAAATGGTCACTAAGTGTAGCCAGGACTGTGCTTATGATCTGCTGTTTTGCTTTGCAGACTTCTGAAGGTTGTGAATACAAGGATTGGTCACAAAGTTACTTTTTCATCTTTGAAAAATTGCATTGTAACTTTGGTTACTAAAGGGGGCAGTTGCTAAATTAGGACTATCTGTACTCTTGAATAATTGCAAATAAATTTGTCCAAGTCTTTACAACTAATTAACCCTTGTTTAACTTACAGCAAACTGAGGTGCAGTATTCTGCTTTGTTCTTTTTAGTTTCAGCTTTTTTATCATATAAGCATCATACATGAATACTTTGAAAGGCTTTCTGATTAAAATTTGCCTTTTGACTAAAAGAATGTTAGTGCTCAAAAGGGCCTTAATATTTCTTCCATTTGTCATTCTATGCAATTTAATAGCACTCCCTGCTTGTTAAATGCAATTCCAATAGCTCTCATGACATCTATACTGTTCCTCACAATTCCTCAGTTGAAAACAAGAAACGGCAGTGACCACCTTTCTGGCAGGCTCCTCTACAAGTTCTTGGTTCTCACATGTAGATTACCTATGGGCCTTCAAAACAACTCCTTCCTTTTGCAATGGTTTTCTAAAATGGCAGCTGTTATTTGCTAGAAATCTTTATGTTGCAATTAATTGTGTCTATTTGAGATATGTCAAGTTGCCCATTCATTAATTTGCTTACATACTAAAGTTAGATGCAGTGTTTTAGTAGTAGACTCTCACACCTAAATTTCAGACTTAGTTACACCATTGTATGTAGTGTATTGTGTTCCTAAGTGGTCTTTGTGCCTAGGCCCGTGATAGAACGTGAGCGTTGCCCTAGCTCAGCTCCAGCGCGCACCACCTGATTTTTGGGCTTCCGGGCCTACCAGAAGTCGGCAAAAGGGCCACTTCCGGCTCTGGAGGGCCTCTGGGGGTGGGTGGGGAAGGTTTTCACCCTCCCCAGGCTGTTAGAAAGGCTCTGGAGCCTGGGGAGAGCGAAAAATGGGACTTCTGGTTCCACCGGAAGTTGGCAAACCGGGGGGGGTGCATTGAATTATGGTGTGGGCATGCACACACGCGACCCCCTTGCTTTTGGCATGTGACGGCAAAAAGGTTAGCCATCACTGGCCTAGGCAAATACTTATTCTGCTGTTTGCTTGCTTCTCAATCCTTACTAGGAAACAGACATCCAATGCCTAATGTCACAGAGTTCCCCAGGGAAATATATACTGCTGTAGAAGTACAATTGTTTAATTCAACAGAGCATGTGAATGTAATGCTCCACTTTCTTTTCCAAACAGTTCTTATCCACAACCAAGGAATTAGATTACCATAGAGACTGGAGTGACAGTGGGCTCTCATGACTATAGGAAGGAATATTTGATAGTGGCCAAATATCAATTAAGCCAGTTTGATGTAGTGGATATGGCATCAGGCTAGAAACCAGGTGTGTGAATTCTAGTCCTGCCTTAGGCACAATTTATTTATTTTATTTTTTATTTTATTCAATTTATATACCGCCCTATTCCCGAAGGACTCAGGGCGGTGAACAGGCACAAGATAAAAATACATCATACAAGTTAAAAAACCAATTAAAAGTACATTAAATAATTTTGGCCCAAAAAACGAATTTAAAAACACCCAATTTATATAAAACTAAAAGCAATTTAAAAGGGAGAGTCAAGCCAGTCCAGCCTGCTGGAATAAAAATGTTTTGAGGGCGTGGCGGAAAGTGCGTAAAGGGGCGCAACTGGCAAATCAGGCGGACCGAATTCCTCCTGGCCACAGCTGTTAAATGCTCTTCTAAAGACAGCCGTGAGTCCAGGAGGACACCCAAGTTGCGAGCCCTATCCGTGGAGGCCAACGACTCGCCCCCAATAGTCAGTGATGGCACCAACTGACTATATCGGGACGTCGGAAACCACAGCCACTCGGTCTTGGATGGGTTGAGTCTGAGTCTGTTTCTCCCCATCCAAATCCACATGGCCTCCAGGTACTGGGACATCACTTCAAGGGCATCATTGGGGTGATCCGGGGTGATGTACAGCTGAGTGTCATCAGCGTACTGGTGGTACTTCACCCCGAAACCACGGATGATCTCGCCCAGCGGCTTCACATAAATGTTGAACAGAAGGGGCAAGAGGACCGATCTTTCTGGCACCCCACATACAAGGGGCCTCGGGGTCGACCTCTGCCCCCCTGTCAACACAGACTGCGACCGTCCATGCCAACTGGATGATCTTGGACCAGTCACTTTCAGCTCTAAGGAAGCAAACCACTTTTAAAAAACCTTGCCAAGAAAACTGCAGGGGCTTGTCCAAGCAATCTCTGAAAATCAGACACAATAGAATGGAAGAAAAGAGACCAATTAAAAGTCTGTTAGTGCCAGGAAATTTCAATACATGCTCAAAGGTGCTACCTACCCCTATCTAAGTGCATCAAAGTCAATCTCTAACTGTGGACTCATGTGTTGGTTCTGGATGCAATTTTTACTTTTTCTCCATGCATTAGTAGAAGCTTGATCATGAGCTCCAAAGTAGCACTTCTTCATATGCCCTTAAAAAAAATGTATCTATGTCTCCAGTGAACTTAAAAAGTTTTCAATAAGTGCCCTTTAAAAATACAGCCATTACAAGGAAGGCCTTGGTGGTAGCACTGACTGGAATCCTGATTGTGCAACTGCTGCTTAAGTGGGTTAGATTTTACCACTAAATAAAACACTTTTTGACCTGTATTGTCTCACTAAGTCAGGGGTGTCAAACTTGGGTCTTCACAGCAGTCACGTGATGTATCAGTATTTTCCCCTCCCTTTGTTAAACTGGGCGTGGCTAGCACATGATGCATCTGGCCCGGGGCGCGCAAGTTTGCCCTGCATGAAATGCTTTGAGTTTTTTTTTTTTACTACTACTATGCTGATTTATTGTGTTTTAAATTTTTCCCAATTCTATTTTTTTATTACTGGTACTCAGTCCTGGAAATTGGTTGAATGTTAGGATATATATATTTAAAATAAGTAACTGCATAATTCAATTTAGCTATGTTAAATGAAGTAAAAAAAAAAAGATTGCATCCTTATGAAGCTATCTTACACAAAATTGGTTGTGGTGCATGCCATGCAGAAATTCTTTTATGCAAGGATAATGATTAAGTGGGATGTTTTCTGTACAAAAGTGCTCTCACAGTATGCGCATATGTCCACTTTTAAGATCCCTCTGGAATTCTACATAATTTTCTGATTTATCACATGGAGTTTTCAGAATTTCTCCTCTTTGGAATTAGGCTTGTAAGAACAGAATTGATAAAAGAGATGGTTTCCCAAAACAAGGATTTTAAGTCCATGACTTCTTGGGACAAAATTTAAGTTCAAAACATGACCCAATATTTTATGTAGAGAATATTTTATTAGTTTCTGTAATCAAACCCATGTAAATAAGACCTTACATATTTAATACAGTGCGTTACCCCTGTACAAATGAAAAAAAAGTTTAAACTTTTCTAGACCAATATGGCTGTTAATTTCTGTACAATGCCAACTCACAGTACAAGTGGATATCTTTCTCCAAAGCTGACATCACAGCTAAATTTCCAAAAAAATGCAAATTATAGTATTTATATAAAAAAGATAACCAACAGCATTTCACTAGGCATCAATAGCAGCAACAGACTTTTCCAGATTTTGCCATCATCTGAACAAAATTATACACATTACACTGTTTTTGATTCATTCTTTGTTCCAGAAAGGGGTTGGGAAAATTGTCAGAGAAAACAGTTCGGTATGATGTGCCATGTGGTGCCCTCCAATTGATTTGAAAAGTCTGAATAACTTCATTATACAGCTCTGCTATAGCACAATCACAACTACATATTGTAAGCAGGAATGAGATATTTTACATTCACAGAAGTTATCATACAGTACTTTTCCTACAGCTATACTACTAAAGGATACAATTAAGAAGGCATTATTTGACTTGATTCTATTTTCCAGCACAATGAGCAGAAAGAAAGTGTGATGCAGCTGATATAAATATCTGTTTTTTGTGGCCCAAAATCAATTGCTTGCTGCTTTATACTCACAAATGGAGAAGTATTTCAAGGCCAAAAGCTTTCTTCTCAAGCATTGTCTAGTTCTAGCTCAATGTAACTGGCAATATAAAAGGGAGTCTCCCAAAACTGCCATTCTGATATTATATTAACATGGAGAAGCAATTAATATCTTTTTTTTCAGTTAAATTCAGCACCATAATCAAACTGTAGTAGCAGCCACCTCCTGCCTTTCTTGGAAATCTGACATCAAACATTTACAAAATGAAATGGTGTGTAATGGGAAGTAGGGGGTGATTAAGCTGCTCTTAATGACTTTATTCATGGTCAAAAATTCTCCTGCTCCATTTTGAAAGAACATCTTATTTGGACATGAGCAGCCCAAACTCAAACCCAGTGTTTTATCCCAGCATGGTCTTCTCCGATCTGCCCTTCTTCTCTAAATAAATCAGCAGCAAAAAGGAGAATGTTTTTACCTTTGGCTAATAAAATGCCGCAGGAGCATTATTTAGTTTTGCACCATTGAAAAAGCAGACAGGTGCTTCAATTCTGATTGATCACATTCATTCATGCAACAGCATACAAAATGTCCCATAGAAAAG